CTGAATGTTTTGTGTGGAAATTTCTTCTGTCAGATAAACTAGTCCATCACTTTTTTTTTTTTTTTTTTGGTACCGGGGATCAAACTCGGGTCCTTACACTTGTGCAGCAGGCGGCGAAACCACTGAGCTAAATCCCCGGCCCTCGTCCATCACTCTTAATCTCAGCCTCCCATCAAGTCTCAGGGCATGGATGCAACACAGTCAAGTCCTTTGCAGTAGTATAACAGTGATGGTCCTCTCCCCAATTTTCAATAAGAATCTCATTTCCCTCCAAGACTAATTCTCCAGTCTCTTCCTCTTCTGGGCTCTCACCAGAATCTCCCATAACGTTCTGCTTACGGCATTCTAGGGTTTTCCTAGCCTGTTTCTCCAGATTTTCTAACCTCTATTCATCACCCACCTCCAAAGTTATCTCCACACCTATGGGTATAGTTATAGTAACAAACCCACCCCTGATCCCAATTTTCTAGATTACTCTGCTTTTTATTAATGTACTGAAATACCTGAGGCAGGCTTACCTTATAAAGAAAACAGGTATAAATTACTCCTGGAGAGTCAAGGGCAAGAACCCAGTATTGGCTCAGCTCTGGTGAGGACCACATGGCATATGGCAGCAGCACACACAGGAGAAAGAGATTACAGCTTGTTATGGTTTGTGTCTAGATGTCCTCCCAAAGCCTTGTGTGGTCACAGGTGGGCCTTTTCAGAGCTGGCTGGATCCAGAGTGTGTAGTGCTGGGATTAAGGGTGTGTGATGACTAAATCAGTCCACTGATTGGTTTGGCACTGCCCTAATCCCAGTAGCCTGGGTATAATATAAAGGACAGGGAGAGGCTCGTCTTCTCCCCTGCCTGCTTGCTATTGCTGTCTTCTGCTTCCCATGAACTAGTTCTCCTCTCCTGGGCCCCTCTGCCAAGCCACCCTGCCTGGGAGCCAGCTGGTTATGGACTGAAACCTCTACAGACTGTGAGCTAAGTAAACCTTGCCCCCTTTCATTTGGAGTGTTGGGTATTTTGTCTCGCTGAGAGAAAAGTAACTAAGACACAGCTCAAAACAGACAGCCAGACTGAGCCAGGGCTTGAGTTTGCTCTTACAGCAACCTGCTCACAAAGCTACCATAATCCCCGCTGAGGCAGCTCCCCAGCGACCTGAGGACCCCTGCTAAGCCAACACAGTGGTGACCAAGGTCTCAGCACATAAAACCTCGAGGACACCCTGAAACCATCCCCAAATCATAGCACAAGATGTGGTAGTGGTAGAAGTCAGCTTTCCTTTAGGGCTGACATACTGAAGACTACAGTGACACTAACTGAAACTAACAGGTGATGGCTGCGTTTTAGCTCCGTGATGGAGTGTATGCTCGGCACACACAGAGCCTTGGGTTTGATCTTCAGCACCAAGGGAAATCAGCCTTGATAGTTAATTATTTACTGTGCACATTAGTACATATCTGATTGAATCCAGTTCATTCATATGCAAAGAAAATTGGTTCCGAGCATTCTGTACTTGGGCAGTTGGGAAAGAAAACAGATGGTAGAAATTACTGGCCTAGGTTGTTTTAGTCCAGAGAGGCTTATAGAAGAGAAAACTGTTCAGTGGATTTGAAAGAGAAGCTGGACAAGATTTGGGGTAGAAAAAAAAATGTGTTGGAGGATATTATTTGAGGAGAAAAATACATTTGCAGTTTGGGAATGATAAATAATAATAGCAGCAAATCATATTTTTAAAACTTGCTTTAAGAAACCTAAAAAAAAAACCAACAAAATTTTACATGATGTCTTAGTTACTTTTTTCTCACTGTTGAGACAAAAATACCCAACCTCAATTTAAAAGAGAAAAGGCTTATTTCAGCTCGAAATTGTAGAAGTTTCAATCCAAAGTTGGCTGGCTCTGAGTTAGGGAGGCATGGCACAAGGGCATCACAGAGAAGAAATGGTCCATGGCTTGGCAAGCAGAAGCAGCAAGCTACAAGTGACAAGCAGTGGCCTTCTTTCTATCCCTTATATCTTATCCAGGTGACCCACCCTTAGAATGGGTAGCACTCACATTCAGGGTGGGGCATCCTTAATCCTAGCAGTACACCATGGCCCAATCCCAGCATCACACACTCTAGATCCAGCCACCTCGGAAAAGCCCCACCTATGACTGCAGGAGGCTTTAGGGGGACATCTAGATACAAGCCATAAAACATGGTAACCTTTGTCAGTGGATTCTGCCCTCTGAGTAGTTATAGACATACTCTATATGAAATTGTGAACTACCTGCCTGTCTCCTCAGTATGGTTGACACCAGTAAGAATTCCCAATGGAACTTCTTTGGAAGGAAGCAGTCAACGAGCCAACAAATACCGTATATACCATGCCAAGTGGTGGCCAGTGTTATGAGGATGACTAGCAGACTAGGGTTTGGGACAGAAGAGAATGCTAGAGGTTATCGAAGGGGGAGTCAAGTCAGGGAATATCTTCTTTCAGTGACATTTGAACAGAGACCTGAAGGAAGGAAGGAACAGAGCCATGCAAGTTTGTAGAAAAACAGTTTGAGGGTTGAGGGAACAGTAAATGCAAAGATCTGAGGAAGGGAGGTGCTTGGCATGTTTAAGAAAGTCCACTGAGGTGTGCATGGCTTGAGTAGTGTAAGCAAGGAGAGTGGTGGAAATGAAGTCAGGGAAGGAGCAAGAAACCAGACTAAGTGGAACCTGGTGAAGGCATTGTGAAGACACTTGCCTTTTATGAGCGAGATGAGAAGTCCTAAGGATGGAGGACTCTGAGAAGAGGCATGACATGGCCTGACTTGCAAAGAAGATCCTGCCTGCTGTGCAGAGAGTAAATCACGGAGGGACAAGAGCCAGGAAGGTGACAGGGACTTAGGGAGCAGTGATATGAATTCCGCTGAGAAGCATTGGTAGCTTGGGCTCGGTTACACTGGGGAGTAATGAGAAACAGATGCTTTTTGGGTGTACTTCAGAGGTAAAGCCAACATGACTTTTGGGTGGATGGAGGGATGGATGGACAGATGGATGTGGGCCGTGAAAAGGAACCTAGGGCATTTCCAAGGTTTTGTACTTAGCAGTTAAGATTAGACTGAACTGTGGGAGGAGCAGGTTTGGTGGGAGTATCAGAGTTACAGTGAGAACTTGACAGGCTTGGGAAGCCTACGTGAGCCTGGCGGTCAGAAACAGAGTAGAATAGTGCTTACTCAGGGCTCCGAGGGAAAGGGCGGAGTTACCATTTATCAGGCACCAATCATCAGTTCTAGAAAATAGGTTAAGTTCTAGAGATCTGCTGTGTAGCATTGCAGTTAACAATATTGAGTTGTGTGCATAAAAATGTACTGCAAGGGTTACAAAAAAGCAAGAATCCCAGGCCCCACCAGAACTTACTAAATCAGAATCCACATTGTTAATATGACCCACAGGCATTTGCCGTGCACTTTACAGCCTGGGAAGCACTAGCATGGAAGTTAGAGGCGTGACTTCATGACAGTAATTTGCTCTGTAATCGGACTAAGTAAGGTGGTGGCTGCATATTAAATACTGTATTATGTCCAATGTTCCCTGTAGAGATTCATCCAGGGTATAAATCTTAAAAAATGAAAGTAAGTTTAATATAGTTTCTGTTGTTATTTTAATCAGCCCTTTGTAAAATCTCGTAATATGTTTCTATTTGGTGATTTATTTTTAAACTCAAGGACAGGAAAGAAATCCACATGAAGCTATAATTTAGGGAGTTCTGGGGATGCAGAGGCTCTATAAAACCATAAAACAGGATGAGATCACCAAGAGTGTGAATGAATGTAGGGAAGCAAAGTTGCCCATGAACTCAGCATATGAATGTTCCAATGTTTTGAAGACAGGAAGAGAAAAAGAGAATTAGCCAAAAAAAAAAGCTGAGACAAAGCAACTAGTCAGATAGGAGGAGAACCAGGAGAGAGGTATAGGGCGGATGCATGGGAGAGTGGGCAAAGGAATAGGCGAACTAAGGGAGCTCTATTCGCCCTTTGAGGATCAGTCTAAAAAAGGCTGAGTGTCAAGTTACCACCTCTTTGCAGGGTCCCTGTGAGGGTTATAAATAATGTATGTATACCATTTATCACAGCCAGCAGAGCAGCACAGAGAAAATACCCAGTAATTACAGATTGAGTAGCTCTTACACAAAATGCTTAGGACTGGAAATGTTTTGGATTTAGAATCATTTTGGATTTTGGAATATTTCTGTATGTACATAGTGCGATACCTCAGCCATGGACTCAATTCTAAACATGCAACTTTTTATGTATACCAGGGATACATAACTTTATACAGTATTTTTAGTATACCTACGTTTGACCGTGACCCATCAAACAAGGTCAGTTTTCCCATCTTGTGGAATTTTCCATTTGTGGCAGGCATCATGTGAGTGCTCAGAAAGTCTCAGATTTTGGAGCATTTCAGGCTTTTGGGTTAAGAATACTCAATCTGTAATAGGCATTTTTTGCTAGATAGTGAAACAGCTAGAAAGCATAAGTGCAAATTTTTTTTTAGTAAGTACTAAAAATGCTGCCAGATTTAAAAGGAAGGAAGAAATCAGTATGACTCAGGGTATTAAGGAAGTCTTTCTGGGAGAAAGAGAAAGTTGACAGATTTTAAAATGGGTTTGAGGTGGGCAAGAGGCGGGGCATTCCACATGCTAAGAGGAGTAAAGGTTTAGAGGGCCGGGGTTTAGCTCAGTGGTGCCACCGCCTGCCCGCCTTGCAAGCACAAGGTCCCGAGTTCGATCCCCGGAACCAAAAAAAAAAGATTTAGATACATTCAGGGTAGCCTGGCGTGAAATTATTTGAGTTATATTTTTTGTTGTTATTTTTATTTTGTTTTATTTGGAAACTAGTCTATATTTTTAAGTTTAATATTTTTTTGCTCTTATAAAGCTAAGCCCAGTAAACACTGTAAGACCAAGCAGTCAGTGGTACCAGCCTCACATACTGCAGCACCCTCAGTTAACGATGGTTTTTCCACTGTACCATCAGGTTTTACCACCCTTGAGGGATGTCACAAACCGACCAGAAGTTGGCTCGACTGTGAGAAACAAGCTGGTGCGCCTCATGACACATGTTGACCTTGGCGTCAAGCAAATCGCTGCTGAATTCCTTTTTGTCCTTTGCAAAGAGAGAGGTAGGTTAAACTCTCTTTGCCCGTGGCTTTTAGCTTTTGGAGGGAACTTGACAAAATTTTCTGTTGGTGGTGGCCATCTTACTCCATGCTTTCCAGAGCATTCTGTTACCTTTTGTTAGTAGAGAAGCTGAGGAGATAATAAAAATTAATTTTAAAGTAGTTTTATGTGCTTCTGGATTCATTAACATCTGCAGAGGCAGATACATTGCCAAACACAGCTTAAGCTTTGCCTTCCGTGTCCTTAACCCAGACTTCTTAATCTTGATGTGCAGGACCTGGAGCCATTATGAGAAGTCTGCCTAATAATTCAGGTGCTTCTGTTTCAATAACCAGGCACAGATATGAGTCAGTTTCTCTAATTCCCCTTGGAATTTAATTCCTCTTGAATTAAAGACTGTCTTCACCAGGTTCTTCAGTCATTAATTCTTGAATATAAAGTCTGTAATACAGTGCAGAAGTACAAAAAGGCATAAGCTCCACCCCTTACCCTTGAAACAACAGTAGCAGAGTGGTAGAGAAAAGTTTAAAAATAACTATAGTACAATGTGATAAACGCTACTCCATCAGTATATATAGTGATTGTCTGCTGGGATAGATTCAACAGTTAATAAATTTCCTAAAATTATATGGATTATTTGTTTTACAGAAACCAAGTTCTCCAGCAAAGAACTGTAACTAAATGATTCAGATATTTTCACTGATTGCTTCTCCTAGTTTATAGTTGTCCTGGTAGAACAGTCCCATCTAAGCAGAGTTTTTATTTTATTTTTTAAAGTACCCCAGTTTTGTGAGATAGATAATTTGAAGATAAAAAGGTTCACTCCTGTCAAAATCTTAAATCAGTTGTGTTCTTAAATTTTATTTTTGACTAAATTGAACCAGCCACTTAAGTTCTTGTTAAGATAGTATATTAACAACATAATTTGATAATTATCGTGGTGCTAAGCATAGATGTTATGAAATGAGAGGTATCATGTGCCTGACAATGTATGAGTAACTCACTTAGTTCTCATAAGAGCCCTGTAAGGTTAATATTACTACTTCAGTTTCATCTGATCACTTTTGTGACTTTGAGAAAAGATTGATTTATCTCCTTGGAATTAAGTGGTTATCATAGTGCCTTGGTGTAATTGTAAATATTGGCTGAATGGAATCTATTTCTCTGAGCTGTTTTTTAAAAGGTGTATGTATATGCACAACTCTAAACCACACATGCATCTGTTCATTTTTAAAGGTTTGTTAAAATATATGCCAAAATATTATATATTATTATATATTAATATTATATTTTAAATAATAATAATATTGTCTGATATATATATATATTTACTCAGAGCAGTAAAATTTCTGGTAGATTATTTTTTCTTTCTAGTTCCCTGCATTATAATTTTTCTACAGTGAACATATGTTTCATGTACACTTTAAAAAATTTTTAAAGGTCAAAATAAAGTTTATAGCTTCTATAACTGTATATCTAAACCTTATATATTTAAATGCATATATATCTAACTATAATCACCTTACTGATGAGTTAGTGAGGGTCATAACAGATACAGGATATGTATTTGTAAGTTGATTTTGTTAATCTTTTTAAAAATCAAAAATGGCTAGCTTTGTGAGGTTTTGTAGTTGTGGCTTTGAGCCCCAAAACAACCCGTATCAGCAGAGTAATATATTTTTTTTCATGTGAATTTTGACAATTATCTGAATAGTCATCTGATTTTCCTTCCAATTTGATGGTAAGTTTATAGATGTATTCCTTTGGAGTAAGTATTTATTCAAAAGATGAAGTATACAGGATAACCAAGGTCTCTGGCCTCATGTAACTTCCTTCCTTCTGCCACGTTTGCTGGCTCAAGTGGCTATAGCAGCCGGCGGGCAGTAGAAGTCTAGCTGCAAACTGACACTTTCCAACAGCTCATTGTTGGGGTTGTGGGAGGAGCAGATGGACCTTAGGTGCTGGAGAGAAGCTGTTGCTGAGCTCCTGCTGACTGGTGGGCGGCATAGGAAGGAGCATGTGGCCGGTGTTCCTTTTTCAAGAGAAGCTGGGATAGTGACTTTTTACAAAAATCGCCCTGTTTTTAAATGTTTCCAGCTAATTTAAATTTGAAACTTTCGGCAAAAAAAAAGTCTGTAGTCTACCAGCATTTGAAAGTCATCAGATTTTAGGATTTGGATTTGGAGGTAGACTATGAAAATGAAGTAAATTTCAGATAATTTGTGAGTGTGGCTGAACCTTAAAGGGTGTGAAACTCTAAACTTCAAAGTAAAGTCCCTCTGTGGGGCCCGTAATCTCAGCCCTTGGGAGGCTGAGAGAGACAGATCACCACGAGTTCGAGGCCACCCCAGCCTATATAGTGAGACCCTGCCCCCAAAAGTGAAGGCACTATAGGTTTAATGTTCAGGGTCAGACCACGGAGTGGACAGAAAGCGCCAAGCAAACTGGACTAGGGCCACAGACCATGTGCAGAAGGAAACTGAGATGAGCGAGGTGAAAGAGCCAGCCCTTGTGGAAGACCAGGCAGAGTCTGGTTGTCAGGGTATCGCATGCACCCATTCATATCGGGCTAACCTTGGTCTCCAGCTGGCCAAAAGGCTGCCTTGGACTCACGCCACTTACTCTGATGAGTCTGGAAATCACTGAACTCTTTATCACCACTCCGCAGATCGTGTACTGTAGGGAGCCTACAGATAGCCTCACATAGCTTAATAGAAAAATGGTTTGTAAAGTAACCTTCTGCCTTGGTTGGGTTTCTTTCCCCTCTCCTAACACATTCATGATTTCCACTGCGTATTAGGCATTGAAGTAGGGTTGAATTACAGAGGGAAGTCAGGCTTGAACTCCCTCAGCACACAACCCCACCCTTACAAATTTACTTTCCTCTCCACACCAGTCTCAGAGGAATAGGTGCCTCTCTGGCTTGGAGCTAAGCGTTCTCCCTTTCCTGTTTATCTTTTCTCTTCCTGCCTTCCCAGAAGCCATGTTCCATGACTTGTTACTCTTTATTCTTTTTTTTAAACTCTCCCTATGAGCTTTCCACAACCTGTATACATACTCATATCACTGTCCTTACATTTTAGCCTTGAAAATGTAAACTGTTACTGTCCACTCAGCCTTCAGCTTGCTGCAAGTAGCAGCTTATTTCCAAGTTCCAGTAGTAGTGGAACTTGCTTTCCACTTCCATTCCTTATCCCCTAGAATCCACTAAAAATGCTGCTCAGTGAAGTCACAAACTACCTAAGCTTCCAAAGTAATGGGTTCCTTTCTTCCTTATCTTACTGTATCTCTCACAACTCTTGACTGTTGACTACTCTCACAATTTCTGTGCTACCATGCAACCCCTAGATGTCCTTTGCCCTCTGTTCATTCTTTTCCGTCTCAATTGCTAATTCTCATCTTTGTCCCTAAAGTCATTTTTGGCCCTCATTCTCACTTTACATTGCTCCTTGAGTAATCTCATCCTTGGCTTCTGCTTCAGCCACTTTGCTCAATAGGTTTCCAAATCTGTGTGTCTCTAGCCCTAAGCTTTCTCCTGAATCCATCATGTTTAGCCACCTGCTGTGGACATCTGCGTTTGGGTTTCTGATAGGTACCAACCCATGTCCAAAGTTCATCTTTACCCTTTGATCACTTTCCCTGTAAAAGATACCACTGCCTATTTAGTTGCTAAGGCCAGAAAACTAGAAGATAACCAAGATTCCTCCTTTACCTGTAGAACTAAGTGTTAACCTCCTAAATAATCTCTTTCTGTATCCCTCTATTCTGTTCCCACATCATCTCCCTGGTAAGATCCTTAAAGTTATTTTCTTAAACTATTAAAAGAGTCAGATCTCTGTTTCTCATCAGGTTTTCTTCAGTTTGTCTTCCATGTGGCTGGAAGGGTTGTTCTAAAATACAGTGTTGTCATTCCGTGTAAAACTTTCAGTGATTCCCTGTCACCTGTTTGGTAAAATCCAAATCTGCCCCCTTTGGCCCACCTCTAGTATATTCTAAATCAACTTCCACATTGTACTTCCTGCTTACTCACACTCGGTGCTGCATTGTTGCACAGGATGCCCTTCCCCAGCATTGTGAGCAGGGAGAGCTCTGCTTGTTCCTGAGGACCAGCCTGAGAGGCACCTTTGTGAATACCTCTCTAACCATCTCAGGCGGTTAATCATTTTCCCTTTTGGGTCATTTTTACTTACCTGTTTTTAGTAGTTTTGACATTTGCTGTGTTGTAACTCTATTTGTTGCGCTTGTATTCCAGACCTGGAGTTCTTTTAGTTGGACAGCATGCCTTAAATTCATCTTTAGATCCCTCCTGCTTAACAAAACACTTTACTGATAGTAAGGGCCCCATAAATGTTTCATGAGAGAGCAAGCACTTGAGCTTTCTATAAATTGAGTCTGGTGAACATACTATCTTGTGTATTTCTCCGTGTGAAGGCTATTTTCCATTCTATAATGTAAGCTTCCTAAGAGAAGACTGCCAGGAGCTGTGCTAACCTAGAAGAGGGAATGATCAGGGATTATGGAGATCAGAGAAAGTCTTGGCCAAAGACAGAAAAATGGGAATGGCTTTCACATGTCCAGAAGAGAGTCACAGTGTAAGGAATCCAGAGTATATTTAGGAAAGAAGGCAGAGACCACAAGTGAAGAGCCCCTTAGGCCCTGGAGAAACAGTAGAGATCCAGGAATGTAATGCAGTCAAAGATATCCTGGACGGTTATATGGAATAAGGAGTGGAAAACTGTGAGAAGGGTGAGGCGGGACACGGGTTAGAGGAAGCTGCTGGTATGGATTTCTCACATTTGCAGTATTTGTCTAGAAAGGAAAATTGGCACAGTGGAGTCTGGAAACAGCATGGTTCTGCCATTCTTTCTCCTTGGTAAAACAGCAAGACTCTGCTTTTAGGGTTGAATGTGGTAAACCCCACAGTTGCGTAAGCATTAATAGCACGACTGCCAGGGCTGGTTGCTTTCCTCTCCTCGTAGTACCCTCTAGCATCCTGATAAAG